TCTTTCTTTCTTTCTTTCTTTCTTTCTTTCTTTCTTTCTTTCTTTCTTTCTTTCTACCATCTATTTCTCTCTTTTTCCCCTCCCTCCCCATCGAAAGTTATAAATTTAATATTAATAAAAGCAAATTTGCATATTTTCCAATTAAAACGTATGTAATATTTGTTTATGTCTTGTGCTCTCAAACATCTGACATTTATTCTACGTGGCTCTTATGTTAAGCAAGTTTGGCCACCCCTGATCTAGATCATTATACATACAGTGTTATTTTATAAAAGATACATCAAAAATACCAAAACCCCCCCCCCCGACATACTTACAAAAAATGCACAACTGTTCTCCCATCACCGCTCTCCCCCTGCCACTTCTCCACCTGGGCCAATAAATGCAGGAAAGACTTCTTTGAATCAGGGGTGTCTCTGTAAGCTGACCATCTCAAGTACTGAAAGTGCTGGACCATCAGGTGACCCTCCTGTAACTAGAGAAGACCCATCATTTTTCTCCCCTCATTTATGGTATCTCGTTTAGATTGCCTTCAGAAAGATTTGGTGGGGGGAAATCAGCAGCAATGGTAATTTTTTCATAAAAGAAGGAATATCTATAGTACCCTTTGCACGTAATGTTACTTTGGTTACTTTAAAAAAAAAAGGATACACGGACAAATTGGATGGGGATCAAGGAATAGCATTTGTGGATTTCATTTAAATGTCCCTTACTTCCCTCCCAATAATCTCACCTGGCTCATTCCTTAAACCCCAAAGGATACATTCCCATGGCAAAGGCTGGCAGCACCTTCTTTGTATTCTAAATTTATCGTTCCCTGAAAAGCAAGAGAACTTTGCAAGGTGAGGGATGTACAGGGAGGAAAGGAGGCTGTTTAATACTCTGGTGATCTAGTTAGCTTTGCAGTCTAATGTGGTTAGACAGCTCTGGAAGAAAGAGGATTAGGTGCATGAAGCTGAGAGAGAGACCAGGATTTAGGCAGGGGTGGGACTGCAGAGGTCACTTCCAAATCAGAGTTTTGTGAGGGAAGATCAAAATATGATGGGAGTCAGGAATGGCTTATGGGATGAATTCCTGGTTCTCAGCCTGATATCAGGTCAGGGTAAGAGACAAATGACAAATTCCTGAGAGTTCTGCAGAGATGCATTTACCTATCCATAAGAGCCCTTTTTAGTAATTAAGTTCCTGGCTCTCTTACCATGTGTACCAGAAGAATGTGCTACCCATTATCATCTTGATCCACGCAACTGTCATTTTATCTGAATTGGGCAACATACATATAGTCCAGTTCCAGCATGTTGCAAACATATGTGTATCAGAACAGTATGCTACCCATGATCATTTCGATACATGCAATTAACCATTTTGTCTGAACTGGGCAAAATGCATCTGTTCCAGCTTCTGTATGTGCAAACACATGTCTTGAAAAATCCGGGTTTCTGACCACATGTACTGAAGCCAGAAAAGATGTGTGACAAAATGGTGATAGCACATGCTGAAGTTGGATCCTATCAGCTTTTCTACTAGTGACAAAGCAAGGAAGGGAGCAGAAACAAGAAGGGAAAAAAACTGAACCTAACAATAAACTCCAGAACCAAACAAAGGTTAATGAAAAGGAGGGCCAATATTAAAACCTTTCCATAAAAAAGGTATATGTATTTATTGATAATAACAAATTCTAAAACATATATAGGGGCCCAATTACAACCAATGTATATAAAACATAACAATATCAAGGGCTTAAAAAGTTGACCTTACGCGTTTCGGCCAAATAGGCCTTCCTCAGAGGTCATACATATGTGGCAAGATGGTTAATAATTATATTCACATAAACACAATCAGAAATATATACAAAGTATAGATTCAATAAGGACCATAAAGTAAATTGTTCAGAAGTAAAATCACCAGGCACAGGATAAATATGCACATAAGACCTTTAAAGTGCAATCACTAGCCCAGTGATTATAAAATAAACTTATGGTCCAAAAATTTCCTTCTTTGATTGTGTTCCTACAGTATTCACAAGTAAAAAGCAAGGCCCTCCTCATCTCCTGACCACCCCTCCTCCCGAATGCCGGCAAGCCCAGCAGCATCTGGCCTCTGCTGCCTGGCCCACCACAGCTACCATCAATTTCACCACTGGAACTGCCACCTGAGGAAGTAGGTTTGTTGTCTGCACATGTGCAGAAAATGAAAGTGCTGGGGGGGGGATTTAAACCCAATGCATTTTTTAATTTTAAGTCTTCAGATTTTTTCTGCAATCCTGGGAAGTCCCCCAAGTTTGCAAAAGTATCTGTTTTGGGTAAGTGTGGCCCCAATGCTCAACACGGCAGGTACTCGCTGTACACTACTGATGCTATGCCTATTTTCTCTCTAGCCCAGATTTCTGAGAGGACAGGGGTTGCATTTTATTACTAGACAATGCAAAACCAGATTGAGAAAGAGAAATCTAGCCTTGTTCCAATGTCCTACGTGCCCTGCTTGCAGATGCCACAGCTATGCTGTTTTTCCAGAGTATATTTTAAAAGATCCTGCAAAGGCTCACATTTCAAATTCATCGTAAAGCAAAACAACTGAATCACATTAGATGTAAAAAAATCATTTATATACATGCCTATTTGCACAATGGACCATGAAGCCTCTCTTGTTTTTTTCTACATCATTCCTTTTAGTGTGGAAAACCAGCTGTTGGGGGAGGGGATTAGCAAGTTCTTCTTGATAGGCTAGCTGTGGGCAGGGCCGGCTCACCCGCTAGGTGAACTAGGCCTTCGCCTAGAGCGCGAGCCGGCCGTTAGGGCGCGGGAGGAGAGGCAGGGACAGACGCTGGCACACCTGGCCAGCAGCTGGGAGGAGCGCCGGGGCTGGGAGGAGCTCTGCCGGCTGCAGGAGGATGCGCGGCGGTGTGGGCAGGGCACGGCGCTGTAGCTGGCCAGCGGAGGAGCAAGCGAGGGGGCGGAGGTGGAGGCAGGGGCGGTTTTTCCTAGCTGGGGGTGTCAGGGTGTCAGGGCCTCTCCAGGCCACGGCCGCCCCCTCCCTTGGCGGGCCAGAGGCAGGGAGGATGGGCTGGGCGACCGGGAGAGGGTGAGACAGCTGGGGGACCCCGCCCCAGGCGGCTCAAGATGCCAGACCCCTTCCCCGACGGAGGGCAGCCAGGCCGCCAAGGCCACCGGGGGGGCAGGCAAGCGGTGGCCTCTCCCCCTCCCCGGCGGGCCTCTGCAGGGCGCCCCCCCACACCCCACGCGCAGTCCCCGGCGGTCCAGGGGAGGGAGCTTCCCTCAGCACCACCTCTCCTCCGGCCAGCTCTCCCTGGTCTGGGCCGCGGTCCCCGCGCTGTGGGGCCGCTGAGGGGGCAGAGCAGAGGGTCCGTAGGGACCCAGTCCCCCAGGCCGCGAGGGCGACGGATTGGCCTGGCCTCCATCGCTCCTGGAGAGCGGGCACCCAGCTGGCCTTCCTTTCGGGGGGGGGGGCCCAGTCAAGCCAAGGGACTTCCCCTCCTCCCAGCCTGCCCCCAGCTGCCTGGTTCTGGCAGAGAGGTGCTGGCCTGGAAGGTCCTTTCTGACCGGGACTGCTGGAAGAGCAGACAAGTCTCCTGGGGACAGCTGCACGCTGCACATGCTTTCCCCTTGCGGCCGGTGGCGTGATGGTAAAGCCCTGCGAGAACGGCTACTTGGAGGACAGCTTGGAGGAGGCGTCCCCGCGGTGCCCCCGCCTGCGGCTCTGCCAGGCACGCTGGGATGGTCTCCAGGCCCCGCCGGGAGGTTGGCATCTGCGCTCGCCTAATGTGCAGGACAGCCTTGGGCCGGACCTGGCTGTGTGGGGGGGGGGGGCATGGAAACAAAATCAGTCAAGTGGGACCCACCTGTCAGCTAAAGCAGGACAACCCAGATGCTGGCTGACCATCTCAGCGAGAACTAGGCCCAAATCCTCATTAGTGGTGGAAAATGCCATCAAGTCTCAGTTGACTTATGGTGACCCCCCCTTAGGATTTTCTATGGTGACCCCCCCTTAGGATTTTCAAGGGAAGAGACAAACAGGCATGGTTTGCCATTGCCTGACTCTGGCTAGCAACCCTACACCTCCTCCATGGTCTCCCATCCAAATTCTAACCATGGCTGATCCTGCTTAGCTTCTGAGATTCGATAAGACCAGGCTAGCTTGGGCCAGCCAGGTCAGGGGCAGATCATGTTACTACAGACTAAAAAACTCAGCTCTCAGATTCTCACAATCACTCCTGTTTCTTCACATGTTCTCCAAAATACTCTAAAGCCCCCGCTGTCATATAATATATAAGAACAGGAGCCAAGTTATACTTGGGGAAGGGCTGTGGCTCAGTGGCAAAGCATTTGCTTTGCATGCAGAGGGTCCCAGCTTCAGTTCCTGGCATCTCCAGTTCAAAGGATCAGGGATAAGTGAGGTGAAAGATCTCCACCCAAGATTTCAGAAAGCCACAGCAGTCAAAGTAGACAATACTGGCTTTGAATGACCCATAAGGCAGCCCATGTATGCCCATGTAAACTCTTTTTAAAAGAAAAATCAAAAGAAGAATCACACATCCATCACTAATTTATCCAACATATTCTCAAAACACAGTCTGCTTCCCAGCATGGTATTTCTCATACTTCTCACCCGTGTTATATTCTGGACTCGGAAAAGGCGAGTGATAACATCTTCATCTGTGGATCTAGAAACATATTCAACTTCCATAGGACCATACTGTTGGAGTCCTGGTTCTGGCCAATATTGCAAACAAGGCTGAAGAAAGAAAGAGCATAGAGTGTGAACAGGTGTGGCAACACAAAATGTCATCATTTGTACTTAAAATGTATAGGGAACTAAAAAAAATCCAGACAGTCCAGTAGTGTATTGTTTAGCAGAAGACCTTCATTTAAACTCACATGTCTAAGATCTCTGCATGGTCAGAACATTCCACAAGTGATAATGCTTTACTCAATAGTAAACAAGATTGATCCCTGTGTAAGGTGTAAGCCACCTGCATAAGCCGTCGAGCAAATGGGGGAAAGGCAGGGTATAAATATTTTGGTAACTAAATATAGTTCTCAATATCACACCTCTTATTGAATGGTTGGGCCTCCAGGGATGGCTTCTATTCTAGCATGGAAAGAGTATCTTTGTTGCTCTATGCAACTAGAATCCAGCCCCACAGGAGGCAGCCAACGGCATGCCTCCTGGGGGCCGCCTTTTCCTCCTCTTCAGAAGGAATGGAGGAAGGGCTGCGGTGCTAAAAGGCTGGCTCCGCTCTACCCCTGGCAGTTGCTCGCCTCGTGCTTGGAGAGGAAGGAGCACAAGGCAGTTAGGGAGCCTTTGTAGGCTTGGGGCCTGGGCGGTGGATCTCACCGGTGTTGGGACGAGCGCAGTGACAGGGACGACAGGCTGAAGAGGCTCTCGGCGGCTTATTGGTGGCAGTGGCGTTGGCTGAGGGAACACACTGGGGACGCTGATGGCTGTGGCGCACTCCGCATCGGTGGCAGAGGCTGGCCGGGCTGCTTGGGGCAGTTCCAGCCGCTTTTAGTAAAAGGAAAAAAAAAAAAAAGCGGGAAGGAACACTCCTGTGGTGTGGGATGAATTGGGAGGTGCTGTGGGTATAGGGGCAGTTGGTGAGGCTGCCTGGGGCCCCAGGTTTTCCCTTCTATTATACCCTTCCCCAATGGTAGTTCCTATAGTGGCCTGTGTGGTGGCTCAAAAGCCATAAGGTCCAATTGCCAACCCCCCCCCCCCTCGCCATTCCACTCTCAGTTGAACAAATGACCCTGGTACTTTGGCAGGCTAGTCCCCTTGGTGTTGTAATATGTCCAGTTGCTCTTTCGCTGGGGAGGGCTGTCAAGTAGGTGGCCATTTTGGGAAGGTCTGTGATTGGTGGCCATCTTTGGAAGGTCTGCTACTGGTGGCCATTTTGGGAAGGTCTAAAATAGGTAGCCATTTTGAGAAGGTCTAATACCAGTGGCCATTTTGAGGAAGCCTAATACAGGTGGCCATTTTGGGGAGGTCTAATGGAACAGCAGCCATTTTAGGAGTATTCAGGGCTGCTGCTCCAGCCTCGATAACGATCAGGCATGGTGTCCAAGAAGGGGCAGGGGAAGTCAAAGGGAAAAGGACTTGCTCCAAAGGTACCCAGAAAGGTAGTTGACCCTCCCCCTCCGGTAGCTTTTTCCATGTTGGAAGATTAGGAAGAGGTGTGAGAACAACAAGTAATTTTAGCTAAGCTGGCAGCACTGCAGCAGGCTAAAGGGGCTGCAGCTCCTACCCCTTCTGGGAATGTGATTAGACCTAGCCAAAAATCCCCCCCTCCCATATTAAGGGGAATGCCCTGCTAGGCTTGCCAAGTCCCCCCGGGGGGCGGGACAACCCCTGCCCCAGAGGCCCGTTCCCCGCCGCCGCCGGATTGGACCCCAGGGGGAACCCCACCTCGGCGTGCGCGTCACCAGGAAGTGACGTTATGACGCTGGGCACGCTGGGGGCGGGGCCAGGGTCATCCGAGGGAAAACTCTATGTTTCCCCCTCGGATGGTCGTGGCCCCACCCCCAGCATGCCCGGTGTCGTATCGTCACTTCCTGGTGATGTGCGTGTGGCACGTGGACACTTCGCGCGCACTCCAGCCGCGGACCAGGAGTCCCCCAGTAAGGAGATTTTTTCACTTGGCAACCCTATGCCCTGCTAGCCGAAAAATCTGCCCCCCCTATATTAAGGGGAATGCCCTGCTTAACTCACACAACTTGTAGGTAGGCTTGCCAAGTCCCCCCAGGGGGCGGGGAAACCCCTGGCCCAGAGGCCCGTTCCCCGCCGGCGGCAGATCGGGCCCCAGGGGGAACCCCACCCCCAAAGCATGCAACGTGCACGTCACTCAGAAGTGACGCGACCACGCCGGGCATGCTGGGGGCAGGGCCACAGTAATCCGAGGGCAAACTCTATGGTTTCCCCTCGGATGGTCGTGGCCCCACCCCCAGTGTGCCCGCCGTGGTCACATCACTTCCGGGTGATGTGGTTGCGGCACGCGTGCACACACTCCCAAAGTGGCGCTGGAGTCCCCCGCTCCAGCACCGCTTCAGACTTGGCAACCCTACTTGTGGGCACCAGAGGAACTTGTCGGCAGCCAAGCCCCCCCCCATTGTTCACAAAGGTGAAACCCCACTGCATTTAGATGACTTTAAATCTTTGAGTGGGTGAGGTGGGAAGGTGCACCTCATTACGAGCTGCACACAGTGGAAAGGACTTGGTTATAGTTCCTGCTGTATAAATGATGCTTGAGAAGGCAGCTCCTGTGTATGACAGAGGCTTGGGAAGAATCTTCTGAAAGGGGAGGGATTATCTCCTGCTAAATTTTCATTTCTAGAGACCAGTGCAGTGTAGTTGTTCAGTATGCGGTCTCTAATCAGGGAGAACAATGCTTGGTTCCCCTTTTCTCCACTTGTAGCTGCTGTAAGGCCTTGAGCGAGCCACAGCTCTGTCAGAGCAGTTCTCTCAAGGACAGTTCTGGAAAGAGCTCTCTCAGCCCCGCCTGCCTTGCGGGGTGTCTGCTGTGGGGATGGGAGGGGAGTGAGTTTGTGGGCCACTCTGGGACTCCGAGTGAAGGGCAGGGTATAAACCCAATCTCTTCCTTCCTTCCTTTTTCCATTCATTGTTGCTGGCATGGTTTTATGCTAGGATTTATAACAGATCCAGTCTCTGTGCTGGTATTTTGGGAGGATATATGTCTCGGTGAGAGACCATCTGCTTGGCGTGCAGTAGGTCCCAGGTTAAATCCCTAGCTTCTTTAGTTGTGGATTTGGCAGTAGGTGTTATGAAAGACCTCTGCCTGGGACCTGGAGAGAATTTGCCGGTCTGAGTAGGCAATACTCATTTAGCACTTGCAGTACACTCTGGGTGAAGAGCGGGGTATAAATCTGGTCTCTTCTTCTTTTCTCGGAATATCATAGGAGCCTTTATTGGTATCTAATGGTCAGGAGGGCCTGTGGCTCAGTGTTAGAGCCTCTGCTTGGCATGCAAAAGGTCCAAAGTGGGCCTGTGGCTCAGTGGTAGAGCCTCTGCTTGGCGTGCAGAAGGTCCCAGGTTCAATCCCCGGTTCTCCAGTTGAAAGGACCAGGTGGCAGGTAATGTGAAAGACAGCCTGAGATCCTGGAGAGCTGCTACGAGTCTGAGTAGGCAATACTGACCTTGATGGACCAATGGTCTGATGCAGTATAAGGCAGCTTCATCACTCTGAGTTGGCAAATTGGCTTAGTCCTTTCAGGTGTTAGGATTCGAATAATCCATTCCAATGTGTCATTTGTACCTTCTATTTTTCTGTTTTAGCAGAAATACAATGTGATTTCCAGCCTGATGCTGTGATCTGGGGATTTGACAGCTGGCATGTCGTACATGTCATTGGTTGGTTCTAATGGTGTTTTACACAAGTTTGATAGTGCAATTGTCTTTAACGGAAGGTCCAGTGTGTTGCCAGGGCCTGGAGGAGTGGCATTGGTTATGATAGGCTGTGGATGGTGCCGGCTGGGATGCGCCGGTGCAGCCATAGTGCCTGGAATTGATGCAGGTGACTTCCAAGTAGGTTCCGGTGGGGGCGAGGGTTAAGCAAGACCCATTGCACATTGGAGGGCCAGCAGGGCTTTGGAGGCCAGAAAACCTGACAGCGGTTCTGTCCACTCCCTTGGCGGGGAAAGAAATGACTTCCATGCCTGGCAGCACAGCCTTACTCATGTATATATGTGAACAGGTTAAACTGAAGCCCTGTTCATGAATACATATGGCCTGCATGTAGGTGCATACACCTGTTTGTAAAACAGAGCCAGTGCGTATAGTTAATTTACAAGGCAAAAGCACTACAGACGCTGTATAAATATTTCTTATTCTGATTGCTTTAAAATTTAGTTTTTATAACTCTTACAAAACCCTGCTGTCATTTTTAGCCAGACAATTACTCTATTCAGAGGATGTTGAAAATTATAAACAAATCAATGCAAGCAAACTACTGACAGGTTCTACTGAAGCTTAGTTTAAGTTGGGACCCCAGTTACGATAAGAAGAGATAGATGGCATTTTTGTTGTTGTTGCTCAGTCGCACAGTCAAGTCCGACTCTTCACGCCCCCATAAATCATCTCCCGCCATAAATAAATATTATTTCAGAATGCACTTGACTTTTAAAACAATGGGGGCCTGTTATTCAAAGAGCTCCAGGGCACTGAGTGAATGAACCAGCTTTTATATTGGTGTTGTGTCCACAGTTTGACAATCCAGTAGATGGGTAACTGGACCAGAGAGGTTCTATTCTGATATAGACCTGCACAAGTGACCACTTTAGGCCTCATTTCTTATCTTTCAGGGTGTAGGGTTGCCAAACGATCCACAGTAAAGGGTCCTATCTTTTAACAGAGAATTGGTGCATGGCCTTCACCAGATAAATAACATCCCATTAATGGGACATGGCTTCCTTTTTCTACAGGCAGCTCTACCCTGGGATATCAATAACTACATCACTTGGTCAGTGCAGACATACGCCCTATGAGCTTTGCGCAGTGCCCTGCGAATCAGGGCCAATGCCGATGCAATCATGGTGGAATTGATAAGCATTCCATAGATGTTTAGGAAAAAGGGGCCTCTAAGACGCTGAACTGCAGGCTGTGGAAGGTCAGTAATTCAGCAGTTCCAAGACCCGGGTGCCGCATGATGGGGTGAGCTCCCATCTCTAGTTCCAGCTCCTGCCAACCTAGCAGTTCGAAAGCAAGAAATTGCAAGTAGATAA